ATTGAATATTAATAATTTTTCATCGAATTGTATTTGTATATAAATAATAATAATAAATATAATTTAAATTATAAAACTAAATACAAATGAATTTCGATTAAAGAGTTATCAATATCTACTCAACTTAATTATATATATATATGCCTCCGTTTGGGAAGTGGGTTGGCTTTTTGGCTTTTTGACTTTTTTGGCTATTTTAGCCTGGGCTAAAAAGCTTGGTTTGAGAAGGGCTTTTTGGCTTTTTTGATTTTTTTTGTGAGAGAAGAGTGTAATAATTATGGGTTGGATGTGATGTTTTGTTTGTTATGGTTAAAATAGCTTGTTTTGTCTTTTGTGGCTAAAATAGCCACAAAAGCCTTTGCCAAACGGAGCCATACACTCAATATATTTTAAAAAATAAATGGCCCTGATTATTAAAATAAATTTCAAAATAAATTCTGTAGATTGCATAACAATAGCTATTTTACCTAGGGGTGCAACTTGGGCGGGCTTAACCCGAGCAACCCGAGCCCAGCCCGAATTTTTTTAGGGCTTGGGAAAAATATTTTCAAATTCGGTACGGGCTTAGGCAAAAATTTAGAAGCCCGAATTAAATTTACGCGGATTTAGACAAAGACGTCAAACAACCCGAGCAACTCGAAACCCGAATTATATATAAATATATAAAAATATTAAATATACGTATAAATTATTAGCCATTACATGATATTAAAGTAATTTATATTATTAAATTATATTGGATATATATTATATATACAAATAACATAAATCTTACTTTTTTTCTTTTTATTTTCACTCATAAATTGTAAGGACTACTATAGTGACATCTTTTTTACATTATATAAATTATTTATTTTGATGGTATTAATGATTTTCTATAAAAAAAATTATAAATAGAGTCAAATTTTAATAATTTAATAATATAGCTGCAAAGAAAAAAAAAAAAAAACTAAAATTCATTTACAACTCGGGCAATTCAGGTTTAACTTGGGTCGGGCTTGGGCAGACAATCTCGGGTTACAATTCGGGCTTGAGTGGCCTTGGGCAAGTCTCAGTACAACTTGAGTTGGATTTGAACAACCTCCAAACTCACCCAAATTACACCCCTAGTTTTACCCCGCATAACAGCCACCTTAATTCTTTTTTTTATATTATTTATTTTATGCAAGACACGATCTATTTTAAGTTAGAATAGACTATTATAGAATCCCGAATAAAACATCAATAAAGAAGTTCCTCTTTGCAAAAAGTAGAAATACACTGGTTGAATCTAAACAGCCAATTTTATTATTATTATTATTTTTTTTGAACGGCCTAAACAGCCAATTTTTAGTGTAATATGGTTATCAATCGTGACAGGTTGTACTCTTTTACCACTTTAGTATTCCTGTTGGGTTTATATTTTGAAAGCAATTTGTGAGAAAAAAAAGGATATTTTTATTTTATTTGTGTTTACATTTTGAATATATAAAAAGTTTTGTAGAGAAAAATGAAAAACTCCTAATAGTGACAAAATTTTAATTTTTATTTCCTCCATTTTTTTGTATTTTTTTGTTCTCTTTACAAATTTCTTATCAAATCCAAAATCTAAACATAGCGAGACAATTATTTCAACCTTCCAAAAATATAAAAATAAAAGGTAAGGACTATTTCTTACAATAAGCTACATTGGCCCTGTTTGGTAGAGCTGTGGAAAAGTGCTTATAGCTTATGCCTCAACAGCTTATAGCTTATAACTTTCAGCTTAAGCTGATTTCCAGCTTATTCTTAAAGCATCTCCTGCCCCACTCAAAGAATAAGCTGATTTCTGACTTCCAAAAAGCTATAAGCTATAAGCTATAAGCTAAACTAAACACATCAAAATTTTGTCACATATAACATGTTGCCATACATGATTTTGGTTTCTCCCAAAAAGAAAAAGATGTAGAAGGTAAAATGTAGAGAATGGCTTCCCTCCCGTCCGATGAAGGACGAGAGGGTACTGTTGAGCCTATGGAGGCCCACCATGTATCCCGTTTCAATAATCTAAACCGATCAATGTGTAACTCGTCGAGTACTATACGCCTATAAAAAATCATATTGATCGGATATCGATAACTATGTAATCAAATTAGTTTTGTATGAAAAAAATGGACAGTGAACAATAAACGGTTGACAAAAATCTGGTTTGATTACATATTTATCGATATCCGATCAATGTGATTGTTTACAAGCATATAGTGCTCGACGAAATCTACATATTGAATAGTTCAGATTATCAAAATAGGACCCGTGATGGACTTTCATGGATCCAATAATACCCTCCAATCTAATGAAGGGCTAGAGGGAAGCCATTCCGTAAAATGTATTCCCTTATTAGTGGATGCGTTTTACAATTTCTTTCTACTGGAAGTTAATTAACAGTATTAGAATAATATTTCATACTATTTATGTTCCAATACTTGTTTGTTATCTGTTAAAAATTAACATAAATGTTTTATTTTAATTTTTTAACCAATAAATATCAAAGACACTATTATATTTATTTGTTCCAAGAGTTCCAAATAATTGTCCTCTTTCTTCTAACCCTCCTACCAATTGTTTAAAAAATAATAAATAAATAAATAAGGCCAAAAGAAAGAAAAGATGTAGGCAAAGTCCCAAAACTGGCAATTTCAAAACTAGTAAAATGAACTTATGGAGAAAAAATTGAGCATATTTAATATCATAATATTTTTAGTTTTCTAGTTTTCTTTTTTATCTATCTATCTATCTATACTATTATAAAGTGAACACATAATATGGTGTCCTGAAGCTTGCTTCACTCTCCTCATGCCATGTGGCAGTGGTTTTTATTTTTTTAAAAAAAGTTAAACAAAGAGATGAACAAGGCTTAAACCCATGGTAGTTTAAGTATGAGGACTCATACCACTTAAGCTAAGTACACATTATAATATTAATTTCATTATTATTTTCTTTTATTCCTATTTATTTAATTTGCACACACATCGTGTGTGCCCAACCGCTAGTCTGTTAAAAATTAACATAAATGTTTTATTTTAATTTTTTAACCAATAAATATCAAAGACACTATTATATTTATTTGTTTCAAGAGTTCCAAATAATTCTCCTCTTTCTTCTAACCCTCCTACCAATTGTTTAAAAAATAATAAATAAATAAATAAGGCCAAAAGAAAGAAAAGATGTAGGCAAAGTCCCAAAACTGGCAATTTCAAAACTAGTAAAATGAACTTATGGAGAAAAAATTGAGCATATTTAATCTCATAATATTTTTAGTTTTCTAGTTTTCTTTTTTAGGTCAAAATTGTTCGTGAGAGTTAATTATTTGTGTGTAAACGAGTCGAGCTGAGCCAAAAATTAGTATATTTGAGCTTGTTTAGGCATATTTGGGAGGTGACTTTTTTTTTTTTACTTATCGGCTTATTATGAAAAAATATGCAAAAAATAGAGAAGTGATGTGACCCAAATAAGTTAATAAGTCAAGAAATTGACTTTTTTTTACCTTCTCAAAAGAGGTCTAAGATTTTAACGAGCTCGAACTTGAGCTTGATCTCAATCAAAATTTAAAGATAAATTATATTGATAGTCCCCGCATTTTGTCTCGTGTCAATTTGGCCAAAATCGAGCAAATTAAAATTGTAAGGACCAAAATGACACAAGAACTAAAATATAGGGACCCCAATGTAATTTATCCAAAATTTAATGAACCGAGCTTGAGTTGAGTTGAGTTGACTTAAACTTAACTCGAGTTCAAGTCTGTTCACGAGCCAAAGAAAATATAAATTCATACTTACATATGAGACTAAAATTATAATTAAAATTTTGATTATATAATTATATATACATACTAAAAAAAAAAGTCAATATCTTACTAAAATAATAATATCTACAATACTATTACATAAATATATTATCTATATTATTTACATAAAAATAAATTTAGCTATTATTTACATTTATTTTATTTAAATATATAAATAACATATTTATCTTATTTTTTTACATATTTTTATATTATTTAATATATAAATAATATATTTATTTTATTATTTAAATAAATGTTAAACGAGTCAGCTAACGAGTCAAGTTTTAGTATATTCAAACTTATTAAGATTGTAACGAGGTTGAACTCGAATTCGAACGCAATAAAAATTTAATAAATGGAACTTAAACAAGTTTTTATTGAATCTAAAATCTATTTGTGAACAGATTTGTTTATTTGTAAACCTAAATAATAATATCTTGTGGAGTCTAATAAGCTCTTTTTATATATATAATTATGATGAGTTTCACTTCTCTCTAGTCCGTGATCAGACTAGAGGGTGTTGTTGGATCTGTGGAGGTTCACTACGGGTTTCGTTTTGATGATTCAAACCTTTTAATATGTAGAACTCATCGAATATTACGTGCCTGTAACAAATCATATTGATCGAATATCAAATCGCTATTTTATCGGATGTGATTTCTGTTAACCGTTTATTTTTTTACCGACTATTTTTTGTATACAAAACTGATTTGATCATATAGCTATCGACATCTGATTTAGTTGATTTTTTACAGATATATAATACTCAATAAATTTTACATATTAACAATTCAGATTATCAAAACGAAATCCGTAATGAACCTTTACAAATCTAACAATACTTTCCAATTTGATCATGAATCAAAGGAAAGCCAAACCCAATTAAGATATGGTTAGAAATGTCATTCCACTGAAGAGAGTCGTCCGAAGTGGGCTGTGAACATTAAAAAGCATATGAATGCTCTTCCAGACAGAGTTACACTCTCTCTACTCGTTTTTCAAGTACTAGTATATTTAATTCCATTTGTATACAACTGTTCAATTATACATCCAAAGGAAACCGCGTTTGCCTTTTTTTTTTTTTTTTTTTTTTTGAGGGGCTCAAATGGTTGTATTTTTCTTTTCTTTTGTTCTTTTCTCTCTCCTTTCCTCCCATTCAAACGCACCTGTATAAATAGCCAACACCCACCTCTCACTCACTCATATCCATACCCATACACACAAACACAGATCCCCACTGGAACTAACTCACTACCTCTCTCTCTCTCTCTCTAGAATCTAGTAATCTTTCTCTCTGCCATGGCTCTGGTTCTCTGCAACTCCATCCTAGTCCTTCTCTGCTTCTTATTCTCTAGCTCTGTCTCTTTCTCAACCCAAGAAACCCCAAACCCAAAACTGTCCAGAACACTTGTCAACAAGTCTCTTTCTCTCTCCTTCCCTCTCACCTCTGTCCCTCTCTCTTCTCACTCTTCTGCAACTTTCCTCTCCTCTCTTGCATCTTCATCTCTACCAACCAAACGACCCCCCCCAGTCACCAAACCATCCACCTCCCCCTACAACTACAGAACTGCTTTCAAGTATTCAATGGCTCTGATAGTTTCTCTCCCCATAGGGACCCCACCTCAGACCCAACAGATGGTTTTGGACACTGGAAGCCAGTTATCATGGATTCAGTGTCACAACAAGGTAAAACCCAGGAATCCTCCTCCAACGACGTCGTTTGATCCTTCTCTCTCCTCAACCTTCTCTGTTCTTCCTTGCAACCACCCTGTTTGCAAACCCAGGATTCCCGATTTTACCCTCCCAACCTCTTGCGACCAAAACCGCCTCTGCCACTACTCCTACTTCTACGCAGACGGTACTTTCGCCGAGGGCAATCTCGTTAGAGAAAAATTCACTTTTGTGGGATCCCAAAGTACACCTCCTCTCATCCTCGGATGCGCCACTGACTCCTCCGACGCCGAGGGCATTTTGGGAATGAATCTTGGAAGGTTGTCATTTGCCTCCCAAGCCAAGATTTCTAAATTCTCTTATTGCGTACCACTTCGCCAAAATCGCAACGGAATTGCACCAACTGGAGGATTTTACCTTGGCCAAAACCCTAATTCACACACATTTCAATATGTAAACCTTTTGACTTTCCCTCAAAGTCAACGCATGCCGAATCTCGATCCCCTCGCCTTCACTCTCCCCATGGTCGGGATGAGAATCGGCATGACTAAATTAAACGTGTCGGCTGAAGTTTTTCGGCCGAATGCTGGCGGAGCCGGTCAGACCATGATCGACTCTGGCAGCGAATTCACCTACTTGGTGGACGAGGCCTATGCTAAGGTGAGGAATGAGATTGTGAGGCTGGTGGGGCCAAAATTAAAGAAGGGGTACGTTTATGAAGGCGCGTTGGACATGTGCTTTGATGGCAACGCTGTGGAGATCGGACGATCGATAGGCGATTTGGTTTTCGAATTTGACAAGGGTGTTGAGATTGTGGTTCCCAAAGAGAGAGTGTTGGCTGATGTAGGTGGTGGGGTCCATTGCTTGGGGATCGGACGGTCAGAATTGCTAGGGGCAGCTAGCAGCATAATCGGGAACGTTCATCAGCAAAATCTTTGGGTGGAGTATGATCTGGTAAACCGTAGAGTGGGGTTTGGTAAAGCTGACTGTAGCAGATCCGTGCCGTGAACAATGAAGTTAGCGAGTGCTTGATGAGGTACTGTTATATCAACAAAACGTTTCACTGGGGGGAGGATTCTCTGTGAGCGAGTGTAAAGTAGCATCCAGAATGGACGTCTTAATCGGCCGTACATATATGTTTGAGCGAGTGTGACATGTACTTAAATACCAGAGCAATATTTAGATGTTTGTTGTAGCAGTTAATGTATTTGTATGTTGAGTAATGTTAAATATATCAATTTTTTTATTAAATAAATGACTAAATGTCTTGTGAATATTGAATAATATTAAATATATAATTTTTTTATTAAATAAATGATTAAATATCTTGTGAATTTTACACTATATTTAGTTACTTAATTAGTAAAAAATTTGAGAGTTATAACATTTTTTTTATATGTTAACTATTAAAAGTTTTGTTACCCACATATAATGCGAGAAGTTGTTCACAGTTATTATTATTTCTTTTAATCGTCTCATTTTTATTATTGTGAAATCTTGTTTTGTACACATATTATTCGATATAAATGATAGGCATAAGGAACACTATTGGTGAGTCAACTGAGTTAATTTATTGATCACAATTTTGCACCTTACTAAAAAAAATTAATAATTTAAATCTTTCTATTTGTGTGAGTTTTATTTCTTGTCTAAATATTTGTAATGTGGCACATGAAACATAATAGTAATAATAATATTAAAAATAAAACTCCGTTAGTTAGTGTGAAAATATCTTTTAATTCACTTTAGTTGGTATGGGCTCATATAGTTTGCCATCCAACGTGAACATTTTGATGTTTGCCCTTGTTCAGTGAGCTAGTAAACAACAAAGGAAACAAATATTTGACCTATTGTGAGGTACAAGCTACAAATTAACTACATAGGTGCTGTTTGGTGTAATTATTAAAACAAATTATAGATTATAGTTTAACAGATTATAGATTATGACTTTAATCAAAAGTTGTTAATTTGTTTGGTATAACTGTTGGATTAAAGATTTAAGTTGTTGAGTAGTGTTTGTTAAATAAGCTGTGAAGTAGCTTTTTTAATTAATTTTTATTTTTTATTATTCACTATTTGTCTGTATTTTTTATAAAAAATAATAATAATATTTTATAGTCCATTTGGATCTTTTCTATTTTTAAAAAAATAAAAAATAAAAAAATCTAAGAGTATAACCGTGAATTAACATATCCACAGCAGAAATTGATAATCAGAAGCAAGGGGTGAGCAGCTTCTCAGAATCAGTTTTTTTGACTTAAAATAAGTTGTTAGAATCAGAAGCTGCTTGAAATAAGTTTAACCAAACAGTCCAAAATAACTTTTTAAAAGTCAGAAGCCATAAGCTGGCTCAAAAAAACCCCACCAAACACCCTCAAAGTTTTGGATTTCAAATTTGCTAAATAATGGGTATTGTTATTGTTACTCAAAAATTAGACACATTTTTCAAATTTAATGATGTAATAATCAATTATATTAACTAAGATAATTCTCTCTCTCTCTCTCTCCTACTTCTCTAATCATTACACAATCATCTCTTTTACATATCTTAGGTTTAGAAAGTGAGCGCGTATATTATTTTCATTTTGGATTTTGCCTGCCAATTTTGTTACTCTAATGACACTCTCTATGTACTTGGAACTGATTTGATTAGCCTATGTAGGATAAGAATATACGAGATAAATAACTGTTTTGAATATTTGTTTTTAATTTATTTTGAATCATATCACATTTTTATTTTTTTACATATTTTTTAAAAAAAAGTCAAAAAAAAATATAAAATCAATTTTTAACGAATTTTCTAAAACAACCCAAAATACCTATTATGTTAGAGCACCATTTTATGATGAACAGTAAAATGTTTAAAAATCTCTAAAATCTCTCTCGTAGGAGATACTCTTAAATGTAATGATATGTAAATCTGATCAGGAAAAAGTCTTGCATGTGACAAGTCTCAAATGCTTAGAGCATTCTAGCAATGTACCGAAGTTCTAGCAAACTCTTCTTCAAAAAATTAGACAGCTCAAACCTCATAAAATGGTGGGTCCCTCAAAGAGCCCCTGTTTTGTCACGACTCTCTTTGAGACCTCGCGCTGTGTTTCGATGGAAACTTATCCGTGGTTGGGACAATTGATGAGCTCTGCTGGTGCCTCAGTGGTGGATCCTCCACTTGGTGAGAGTTAATTCCTTGCTGGCAACCGACTATTCCGGAGTTAGGGCCCACAGCGGCTGCGATGACACCACAAAACCCTTTTTTCATCTTATCAAAAAAAAAAAAAAAAAAAAAAAACCTCATAAGTTAAATTTTGAAAGCAAAAAAAGAAGGGATAATTATATAAAATAAATTCTAGGATTTGACTTTTTTGACAAAATAAATTTTGAGTTTTTAATTTTATCAATTTATACTCTAATTTTTTGATTTGTTTTTAATATAAAATTATTTGTCTATTTTTGTTAAGTAAAATTGACTAAAAAAAGAATATTTTAATTATTAAACTCAATATAAATATACATAAAATGTCTAAAATATAATTTTATTTGAGTTTAATGACTAAAATATCTATTTTTTAATCAATTTTTATTTAACAAAAATAGACAAATAGTTTAGATTAAAAATAAATCAAAAGTTTAAAGTTTAAATTGATAAAATAAAAAACTCAAGATTTATTTTGCTATAAAAGTCAAACTTTGATTTTTATTTTTTATTTTTTTTATGGGGCATTTACACACAAATTCTAATTTATAAACATATACTCCATTAAGTCTTAACTAAGATTTTTTGAATCTTCAAATCCTATTAAATTTTTAATAATTGAAATTGTCCTTCAAACAATGATTGCTCATTATCTATGATTATCTATAAAGAAACATGATGATTTGATATTTATTTTTATTTTTAAAACTTTAATATATTAACTTTCAAATTGAAAAAATTGAATTATTTTTTTTTGTGTAAAACTAAAAATTTTGTGTCTATAAAAGAGTATGATGATAAAATATTGATTCGCAAAACTAAATAAAAAAAAAAACATTAAAAATGAAAAAACTGATAATATTCACAATTGAAAAAAACTGATAATGTTCTCGGTTTTATTGGATAGTAATCAAACCAATAAATAGAAGGGCAAAAACGTTTAATTTCATACTTTTTTTTTATCAGTTAGTGAAACAAGGAACATTATTATGTGAAATTGATAATATTCTTAATTTTAAAAATTAGAAAAAAATGATGATATTATCAATTTTATTAAATAGGATTTATTGGTTCAAAATTTTGAATAAGATATAAGTTTACATAATATTTGTAAATAGAATTTTTATGTAATTAATTTTTTTTTTTTAATATATAAGTTTCCCAAAAACAAGAAAAGAAAAGGAAAGAAAGAAAAAAAAGAGAAGAAAAGAAAAGAAAAGAAAAAGTCTAAAGGTAATCTAGTAAGTGGCTTTACAGCTCTTTCTTGATTAATGCCGAAGCACTCACTGCTAGGTAGCATTCATTGTCTTTCAAGTTACACCATTTTAGTTGCTGCTCCAACAAAAGGATCCAACACCATCCGGGGGGATGGTGGACGGAAAATGTGTTTTCGTTCTACATAACTCAACAGGGCTTTATTCTTGGAGTGCGTGACTAGCGGTTCATTTTTTAAATGATGAAATTGATTGTGTTATATTTTAATCGTGACTTTGTCTCTTGTGTTGAGAGTTAGTGCATTTCTCTCTGATTCAAGTAGTGAGTTTCCTTTGAGTTGGAATAAGTCTCACCTACACGTTGGTGCTTAGAGATTGCAATGATACCATTAATAAGCATCTTTTTTTTTACTGTTAAAAAAATAAAATAAAAAAAGAATCCAATAACATTATATGCGTCTCGTAAATTTGTCTCCAATTAAGTATCCTTTGTGCAAAAGCATTATTTTTGGGTTTAACATACACCCCTTCAACTCTGACAAACTAAGTCAATATTTCAAGAGTATTACTCTATTTTATTTATAGTTTACACTAAACATTTTGTCTCTTAAAACTTTGATACAAAAGTGATGAGTTTTGTAATTTAGACAAATAATTACTAATTTGGAATATCATCTAAACTTGCTTTAGGAATACTAAACAATTTCTCTTCAACTCTTATACCCTTCTACAATGAAACGAAATATTCATGAAATCGTCTCCTCTTTAAAAAATAAAAATAAAAAAAAACTATCACTATAAAAAATTAAAGTTTTAGAGATCAAAATTTAGGGATAAAATTATTTTTTAAGTACCAAATATTTTAGTTGCAAAACGTGTCATTATTATATTTTTAGCAATAAAAATTGGATGTTAGTGATGAATTATTATCATTTTGGGACCAAATTTTTTATCTCAAAAAATAAACCATTTTGAGACTAAATTATTTTTTTTTTAAAAGTCTATTTATTAGTGACATTTTTAAAATTTTGTCACAAAAAGCCTTATTTTAAATTTTCAAGATGACCTTTTATTGATTATCCTCATGATCATGGAAATTAGTCCTTGATTCAACACAGAACCAGAACTTCTCTCCCTTTCACTTTTTCTCTCCTTCCTCTTCGAAGCTCAGATCAAGTTTGGTTCTGTGTTTTTGATTCAACACAGAACCAGAACTTCTCTCCCTTCTCTCCCTTTCACTTTTTCTCTCCTCCCTCTTCGAAGCTCAGGACTCCTTAACTTTTCACTAATTATTTTGGAAATAAAAATACCAAAAAAATTCTTTCAATCAATGATCCAATGAAAATAGGGAAAACGGCCTTCAAACCCCATCTCTAAAATCAAATCAAACACCATTTATCAACAAGAATTACCATCTAATAATGGAGAGAAAAAAATATTGCAGGAAGTAGAGAAAACAGAGCAAAGAGAACTTACAATTACAGTATTTGAGCAAAAAAAAGAGTACCCAGATGGGATTTTTGGAGAGATGAACTAGACCCACAAATCCAAATGATCAAATGGGTACTCAAAAATCTGTCTTCACACAATAAAAAACCCACTTTGTCAGCTTCTTGCATTGCAACAAACCACCCTAGGTAGTCTGAAATGGTTTTTTTATTCATTAAATTGGCTCACTTTGTAGTCTGAAATTTGCTCCCTTTATAGTCTGAAATGGTTTTTTTATTCATGAAATTGGATATAGTTAAATGTTGGAGGATTCTGCTGCTGTGTTGAATGAAAAGCAATTCAATTTTTTTTTTTTTTTTTAAAACCAAACTTGATCTGAGCTTCGAAGAGGGAGGAGAGAAAGAGTGAAAGGGAGAGA